GGTTTCCTGGGGGGGGGGGGCACCATGGTCAATATGAGAAGGGGCTGAGGCATGGGAAGGGATGTTGTCAGAGTGAGACCCCAGCCCTTAGAATCCTCAGATTGGTTCTCCACCCCTTCCACATTCCCTGGGATTAGAGACTTCAAATGCAGGGGTTGGGGGAAAGATGCCTGGGGCTTTCACCCAATGGGTGTGGGCCCTCCTATAGCCCCTGCTTGAAGAAGAAGCCCTTGGGGGAGGGACGTGGAACATAGGTGTCTTAAAGATAGGGACAAGGTGGTGCTGAAGGCAGGAGAGGGAAGGCCGGGGCTCCTGCAGAAGAAGAAGGAGCTCTGAGGCAGGTTGTCGCCCTAAGACACAGCTGTAGTGGGAGGGTGGGTGCAGATGCCATGACACTGAGCAGGTTCCTCCTTCCCGTGGGGTCATTACTCTGTGACCCCAGTCCTGGCCTCCTGTGCCTGTCTTAGGGACAGCAGAAGCCCCCCCAGAGAATCAGCATCCCTGAGGCCCCTCCAGAGGCTCCAAGCCCGCAGTGCCACCTCGTGGTCGTGCGTGGCCAGACACTCCAGGTTCAAGGGTTCATCAGATCAAGGACAGAGTGAACCTGCACAGTTCGTGCAGCCAGCCTCACTTCCCCTAGCTAGACTGCTTTCATCCTGCCATACCCTGCCCTCCTGGAATCCTGGGGCCAAGAATAGGGTCATTAAAATCTTACGGAGTTATAGAAATAAGTGCAAAGATTTCATTTTGGAGTTCATAGAAAAGGGTTAATATCCTGGGTCCATCACAAATCAGTTGTGTGACTTTGGCCAAGTCACTTTACCTGTCTGGGCCTGGAAATTGGGGATGAAAATGTCTCCCTCAACAGAATTGTATGAAGAGTAATGAAGTAACATTTGTAAAGAATCGAGCACAGTGCTGTCACAAAACAGACACTCCATAATGCTTGTTCTGGAAGCCCCTCATTCAACCACAGGATCGTGAATTAGATTACAGAACCATGTCGTCTTAGATTCATATTTTGATAACCGACTCAGAACTGGACAACTTCATAAAAGTTTAAAATTCAGAATTGCAGAATAATCTGCAGCGTCTTTGCTCTGTGTGCCTGATGTGGAATAGGCCTTTAATGCACACGTCGAATGAGTTTTAGAGATGGCAAAACAACTAAGACACAGTTTGCCATCGTGGCACAGGCTGGATGACAAACATTTCTTTGCATGTCATTAATTATGCAGCTGCTATTTACTGGGCACATGTCTCTTGGACTTTGTGCACATACTGCCCTTTCCTCATGGTAACTGCCGTCAAGATTATTGTCATTGTACAGATAAGGAAACCACCTGGGCCTGGCTTCATCTGTCAGATGGTGTGTCCCTCCTTCTCACCTGTCCTCTCTGAGTGGCCAGGCCAGCAGTGCACATAGCTCAACATCTGGCAACAGCGAACAGCCACCCAGTTAAGTCATGTGCCTTGTGTTTATTTTTCTCTTTTATTTATTTAAGTACCAGTAGTTGTATTTACAGGAATTATTTTGTTCCTTGAGTTAGGTGGGAAATTCTTCCAGTGTTTACTATTTAATTCCAAAAGCTATTTATTATTACCTTTTACATGCCCATTAGTCAAAATATTCTGAAGTAGGAATGCCAACATACATTTCTGTTTCTTGATACATACGCATATGTATATATAGCATGTATATATAATTATTAGATACACAATACAGGAAAACAGAGAAAAAGAAACTGGCTTGAGGAAAGAACTGTCAATCCTGAAACAATTTCCTAAGTAGATGATTCTTGGAAGCAGCAACTTTTCCAATGTGGAGTGATGATTCGTGGCATCAGCCCTTCTGCTCCAGCAAAAAACTGACAAAGAGCCCTACTTTGGGCTGAAAAAAACCATGTTCCCTAATAAGATTAAGGCACAACACATGGGCTCCTTAAGGCAACATAACTAGTGGTTAAGACATCGGCTCCAAAGGGAGGCTGCCTGGGCTCAAAGCCCGGCTCTGCTGCTTAGGGCTGAGTGGCCTGGGGTAAGCCACTCAATCTCTCTGAGCCTCTGTTTCCACATCTGTAAAATGGAGATAGTAGCTACCTCACAGAGTCGTTGTGGGAAATCGAAGTAAATCAATGCATATAAAACACTTCAGATTGTGCCTGGCATATAATAGGTGCCACATAATAAATAATACAAAAAAATATTTTTTGAAAATTCTTTCTTTTGTCAAACTGACAAGCATGCTGTGACTCAAAATATTCTCAGGCAAGGTTTCTTCAGTGGCCACCAGCTCTCGGCAGGTGACCTCATCCAACTCGTTATGCTTAGAAATTTGTCTGAAAAGTTTCTACCCTCCACACCAGTACATGTCAAAATTGCCTCCTGGGTTACAGCTTCCTTCTGACCCAACACATAAGGACACAGTGCTTGTGCTCATGTCCGTCTTCTGCAGGCCTGGCAGTCAGGCTGAATGGCCGGCCTGCTGTGGTTTGAGGGGCAGGGAAAACCTTCCACGCGTCTCACTCTCCCCCACAGCCTCGCTCTGTCTGAAATTCCGCCGCTACTCTTTGGCTCGGGCTGTGATTGTCGTCTGATATCCTTGCTAGATAGCCAGGAGCCCAGAAAAGCAGAGTGTGATTGGGGGGCAGAGACAAGTGTCTGTGTGGCAGTAGGGCATTCATTCACTCATGGGGAACAAGGGGGACCTGGCTACTTCCTCCAAACATGATATACCCTAAAAGTGATTTTAAAGTGCTATGTTGATAGGACAGTTGTTAAGAGTGTGATGCTAGGAGCGAGACGGTGAGACCCACAAAAAAGGTGGTTGAAAGATAAGATCTCTTACATAAGCTGCCTTCTCTACCACCCAGTGTGATATCCTGTTATATGGGTGGCTCCCAGTGACCCACACCTCCTAGGATTATCCCCCTGTGTAGAACCTTCCTCTTGAGTCTGGGCTAGGCCTGTGATTGGCTTTAATCAATCCAACGTAATAGAAGTGGCACTGAGCCAGTTCCAGACCTAAGTCTTAAAAGGGCCTGGCAACTTTCACTTTTGCAATCTTGGGAGCTGCCATGTAGGAGCCTGGTAAAACCACATGGAGAACCTGGGGTGAGGCCAGTCATGAGAGGGGCTGGTGAGAGCTGCTCACCTAAGGCTATAGGGAGGCAGAAAAGCTCAACCATCCAAGAGATCTCAGACCTCAGGCCGACCCACTAGCTTAATGCACATGAGCGACCACAACAAAACCAGTAGAAGATACAACCAGCTGATCCCAGCCCTGGCTGCAGAATCATGAGCAAATAAAATAATCATTGTGCTAAGCCACTGTGCTCTGACATGGCAATAGACAACCAGGCCACAAGCTCTATGTCTTCCCAGCCCCCTTGCCCCTGCTCCACC